ATTAGTCCATCCAGTAAGTAAATGTCTTAAATTTAATACTTCTAGTTATTTTTTGACCGACTCGATGATTACGTTATGCTGCATTAAGGGACAAGCTAGTAAATACAAAACTTTCGTAAAAAATAGAATAGAAGAAATTCAATCTTTATCAGATACCAATAATTGGGCTTCATTGCCCTGGTAAGGATAACCCTGCAGATATCTTGTCCAGAGGAATTTCTGCAGCAAATTTAGCTACAAACCAGCTTTGGTGGCACGGTCCATCCGTGGCTAAGCCAATCACCTGAATACTGGCCTACTGAAAGAGAGAACTTAAAATCTACAGACGTAGACTTAGAGCTAAAAAAAGAATTTGAAAGTACAGTGCAAAATAACTGTTTTGGTAGAAAATTCGAAATTTATTTTAGATTTAAGGAAATGTAGTTTGTCTGTTAAAAAGTACTAAGAGTAACTGCACTAGTTAAAAACGGTTTGTTAATAAACTTCAAAAACGACAAACGATTGCAGGTCCCTCACAGCAGAAGAGCTTCAAAATGCTGAAATAGACTGGATAAAACATGAGCAAAACATAGAGTTTCAACTTAGAATTGCAGAAACCTTGAAAATGGTAAATCGATTCCTTAAAAAACTCTCCACTTTCAAATTTAGCCCCATTTCTCGACAGTTGTAGTGTATTGCGCATAAAAAAATAAAAGGAAGGTTAGAAACAAGGAGCATTTACAAAGGATGAAGCTCATCCATACTATACTTCTTCCTAAGCAGTCTAAAATTTACAGAGTTAATTATTATTCGAGAACATAATAAAATTTTTCATGGTGGAGTTACATTTACGCTAGCCAAAATTAGGTCTAGATTTTGGATTTCCATGAGGTAGACAAATTATAAAAAGAGTATTAGGTAACTGCCTAATTTGTCGAAAGTATAAGTTGAAACCAGCTAAACAAATAACTAGTCAACTCAACTACTAAATGTAGAATTACTGAAAACCCTCTTTTTACTGTAACTGGCATAGATTTTCACTGGCCCAGTTTTTTAAATAAAATCAGGAAAGGATACGCCTCAAAAGGCTTACATAACATTTATTTACATGCAGTGTTACTAGAGCTGTGCACATAGAATTAATCACAATATGTCAACAAAAAATTTTTATTTGTCATTAAGGAGATTTTTAGCTAGGAGAGGAAATTGTAAAGTTATCATTTCCGACAATGCTAAGAGCTTTAGAGTCACTAATGAAATTCTTAAAGAATTTGCAAAAATTATAATAGATTCAAAATTGAAAGATTTCATATCAATAAACAGCATAACTTGGCAATATATTGCACCTCACACACCTTGGTGGGGTGGTTTTTATGAAAGGCTTATGAAAAGTATCAAAGATCCTTTGAGAAAGGTTCTCGGAAGGGCTCTTCTTAACTTTGAGGAAATGATGACTATTCTATCAGAAATTGAGTTAGTTTTAAATCATAGACCTCTTACTTATGTCCATAATGAAATAAAAGAGCCAGAAGCTCTTACACCTGCCCATTTCTTTTTTCCAGGGCAAGAAAAATATTTCTTATCCTGTACATTTCGGCCGACCTTTTTCAGGAATGAACCATTGAACAGGCAGACTTTTTGACTAGGAGAAAACTGTATCAAACTAAATCTTTTGAAACAAATTTGGAAAAAGGTGAAAGGAGAAATTATCTCCTCGAATTACGGTCTGCGCATACTTTTATAAAATCCATCTCCTGAAAGGAATCTTAAAAAGGGTGAGGTTATGTATTGCTGGAAAGGGTCGACGAAATCAAATTTTTATGGCCTATTGGAATTATAGAAGAAGTTTATAAGGTAGGGATGGGTATGTGCGTTCATGTTTGATTCTTCGTACTTCTCACGGACTTTATCGAAGACCCGGTCCAATTAATCTATCCTTTTGAAGTTTAAAGTTATATATATGCATGTTGTTTTCATGTAATTGTATTTAATTTGCAATGTAGTTTTCAGTATTGATTCGTGCATATTGATTTGTGATTACATCTAACATATTATTGATATGTAAATTTAATGTGTACTCTTAAAAGAGCACAGGTGGGGTGTTATTAGAACTTTTCATAGTATAGAGGGCGCTGTTGCGCCGAAAGGAATTCTGTTTGTGTGTTTACATTATGTAAATTATGTAACTGTGGTTCGCCGTTGCGATGTAGTCTGTATTGCTGTGATATATTTTGGTGTTTTTATTAAATATAAATGAAAGATATCGTCATGAATATTTTGTATCCAAATCAAGATCAAATTTACCACTGATGCAAACTCGTCTAAACAAAATTAGCATTCGAACAAGAATCGTCAAGTTATTACTAGCCTTTCGAACTACGCATAAGTATCGTTATTCGCTTCGTAACAACTGTTGATATATTTTTCTTGTCTTCATACATAAAAATGATTCTCAGCTTTTCTTCTAAAACAATTTCAGACCATTGTTTCTAGATTTGTAATTGGTGCCATTAGTTTTATGTTTTGAATCCATTTTAAGAGTAAATAAGCAATGAATACTAACAGTAATATGTAAGTGATTAAACTAATCACTTGAATATTATTTGAATGCATAAAATATGGGTCTTGAAAAGAAGAAATTGTTTGTGGTGTCCTTATTTATAGCTGGTTTTTGTTTGAAGAACTGTACAAAGCTCAAATCATGAAGAGGGAAACCAAATTTCTGTCAGAATTTTTAACACTGCATGATATGAAAATAATTATTGCAGATAAAATGTTCTTCCCCCCCCAAAAAAAGGCCTAAGATTTACATACAAGACCTAGTTTATATGCAAAAATATATTATTATATATAATATACGCAAAAATTACAAATTCTGTTTCATTCTAAATTAGAAGTACCATGAAAAAATCTTCAAACTGACATTACTTTTGATTTACTTTCTGTGGTGCTTCTCATATACAATTAAATATATAAATAAATAAATATAGATGTAATGGATACCTGGTAAACATCCATTATTTATCATATCCTACCTAGTGACAAAATGTTTGACATATCGTGATATGTCCAAACATTCAGCAAATTAAATATAATAAATTCATAATAAAAAAGAAAAATTCCTTTCTCTTTTAATTTTAAAGATTTTTATAACTATAAAATATTATAGCAAATATTTAGAAAAATATTTGTAAATAAAAAAAAAAAACTTTTCAAAATAAATTTCTCAATTTATGAAAAGCGATAAATTGTTATAAATGTTTTAAATGTTAATAAAGTGGCAAAAGCTTCCTTATTGCGGATTTATATATGTTCATTATCTTCAGAATAGGCAAAATTTTGGAATAAATTTAGTGCTTTTGGCTGAATTCAGTTGCACCTTTTTCTACAAAGTAAACTTGGTCTTGAAAACAGCCTCTCACTTCATATGCTAGGCATGGAAAACTGCAGCTTGACAGCTATATGCAGTTCTCTGGTCTCTTAACTGGAATTTTCAAGCTGCATGCAGCCCTTTGGTCTTTCTAATGTGACTTATTGCAACAAACAATAGGTTTATTTTTGAAGTATAATTGCATTTTGAATGCAAATCATGGAAGGGCATGCTTCTTTATTAGTCAGCAAATTAATGTCTTAAATTATACCACATGTGAAATAATTTAATTCATTTCAAACTATCTGCTGAGTGCTAATTGACAATATAATAAATTATATTCATCAAGATCTAATACCTTGAAAATTTTAATATTCTTTATAGGGTAGGACTTTTATTTCGTCCTCAGAGGGCTTGGATAACTGCTGATGAAACTTCTTTAAAGGAGGAAAATGCTGTCTGAACTGGGGCTCTTTCAGTTTGGGAAAGAATTTTGCCTGGGAATCCATGTTTAGATTTTTTGACTTATGAAATAAAACTTCACACTCATACTTGGTAAGAAGACCCAACATAATTTTTACATATAGCAAATGTGCATTAGCCTTCAAAACTAATTTTCCATCCCTAGACAAGCCATGTCATTTTATGCAATATTTTGCATAATTTTTGCAACCCCTAACTGTAATATGTTACAGATACATCACAGAGCTTTATCTTTCATGATAATCTGAGGCAGAAACCACTATTTATTTCATCTACGATTGTTATGCTTTGAAATTTTTAGGGATGTGAGATGAATGGAATTCCAAAATTTTATGAGGAAAAATTACTTCAGCTTTCTACTGCAGAAATGACAAATATAATAGCAGATGAAGATTGTAAAATCTATCTCTTAAGATCATGTGAAATTCTTTTTCCTACAAAAGAAATGTGAACGTCTAATCCCTCCTTTATGTGAGTGAATGTTCATGAAGATTATATTTCTGAAATAGTAAGAGCATTATTATTATTATCACCAAAGGGAACAAAACACAACAAATAAAAAAAAAGAAAAAAAAAGAAAAAAAAGAAAGAACAGGACTTGGATTGGGATTAGTTTGTGTCTTCCTTAAATACGATTTGTTTGCTTTCTTTTTGCACTCCTGAATGCATTTCTTTTAACTTATAGCTTGGGTTTTGTTACTCAGTTATATAATTTTACAGCTACATTTCTCAATGATAAACAGTATTTTACAATATTTATCTTTTATATGGATTATATTATGAAGTACTAGTTTTAAATATGTGCGATCTGGCAACAGATAAAGTTAGCAACAAATATCATATCAATTCCAATTGGCAATACAACTTTCACACAATTAAACAGATTAACCATAAATAAGAAAAACCCAACTTATCAGGAATTTAAAAATATACTTTTTGTAAAAACACAGGAATTATGACTACACAGTTACGATTACTACCTCACAGGGAAATATTTTTCATCAGCTTCAAAACACGAAAATTGAGTATTGATAGGCAATTTCTTTTATCATATGAAGTGAAATTTTAAATAACAACGTAAACGCAGCATATAATTTTAAGCAATAGTACAAATTAGCAATACTTAAAATATTGAAAAAAAAAAAAAAGAAAGAAAGAATTTGTGTACCTGCACTGCAATAAAAAGCCAAAAACTGTTCTTTGCCAAAAAAAGAAACTCCACTAGTACAGAAACTATACAGCACATACATATTAGCAGCCAAATGTAGAAAAGAATTATGACTAAATGTTGACAGGAACATTGGCAAACATGAAGATTCTAAATAAAAAAAAACATGAATTATGAATATAGCAATTAGTAAAAACAGAAAATATACACAAAAAAAATTAATACAATTCTTATACAATTTCTAAAAAATGTCTTTCTAGAATTCATATAACTGTAAAATTCATGCAAGATGATCTTGAAGTTTTTATATTCTAAATTAAAAGTCTTATTTTTGACTTTAGATACGAAAACACTGAGTAACTTCAAAATTTTTTGTGTTTTTATTGAGGCAATACTTTTCTGGAAATTTTTATAAAATATCTCAGAAATTTTTGCTCATGTTCAATAGTTGGTAGAAGAATACTATGGAATTGTCGAACGTTCTGTTTAGTAAAAGGCCTTGATATGTTGCATGTTACCCCTAAGCAACAGTGACATATACACAAAAAAACAAAACAAAACAAAACAAAAAAAAAAAATCAAGGCTGAAAAGAAACAAAAATGTTTGTTAGCGAGATACTATGGAATTGCTGAATGTTCTGTTTAGTAAAAGGCCCTGATATGTTGCATGTTACCTCTAAGCAAGAGTGAGGGGGAAGAAACAAACACACACACACCAAAAAAAAAAAAAATAATAAGGCCGAAAAGAAACAAAAATGTTTAGTATAATTTGAGGTACAATGTTGCAAAAACAAATCAGACAGTATTAGAATTAGGTATATAGGACAAAAATGCTTAATCAAAAATGCATGTGCTAATATTGGTTTGCTTTCTACTCTTCAAAAATGATATAAAGGCAACTCTAAGTTCTTAATGTTCAGAAAGAACTCATAAATTTAAAAGATGCAACCAGTTGCTAGTTAATAATAGTAAACACAAAATCCCTAGAATTTCTGGGGAAATATGGGTTTCATATTCATATTAACATTAATGTCCTAAGATGTGTAGCAAATTTTGCCCTGCCCTCCTCTGTCCTCCCCTACCTAAAACAAAAATCTCTGCACACACATACAGATTCAAGTTTTTAGACGGCAAACTATCTTACCAATAACACTTTTTAATACCTTACAGCACAGATAATTGGTTTCTTATACAAGTTAAAAGATATCTGTTTTCAAAGTTAGTCTGTATTGGTTGTCTGAATAAATGCAGTCCTCCAGTTACCCTAACCTGCAAATGAGAGGATAGATAACTGATTTTTTTTTATTTTGAAAGTTCTGGCTTTAAAGTAATTAAATTTAGAACATTCTAAAACTGTTTGCTTGTGCTGATATTCAGTTAAACTATATTAACTACACCATGATACCAGATATGATATTGAAAATTTTCAAGTCCTGTTACCATAATAGTTTACGAAATCTTTGCTTAAAAACAAGGGTCTGTGTTTCCAGATCATAGCTCAGAAGCTTAACATTTACACTCTATGCATGTACAAGAGACTTTTATATCTTAATTACTTAAAAAAAAATCTGATGTGTACACCCCATGACTTCCTTGTATGGAACTTTAAATTATATGCATTTTTTCTTGCATTTTATTTAAACTTATTACATTGAATTAAACCTACTTCGCTGACAGTGCATAAACCACAATAGAATAAATGTATTCTTTAAAATTCACTTTGTTTACCATAGCGACACTCTGGCGCTAGGTTTACTTAACAGTATTATATTTCATTCATTTTATAACTCAGAATGCACAAAATATATATCATTTAAAGAATTATCTAATCGTTGCCACATGTTCTATTCAAATACTATAATAAAGCTAGAACTATGTATAAAAGAAATTATGCAAAAAAAAAAAAAAAAAAAAAAAAAATTTTTGCACAGACGATTGAGTATTTCTCATTTAATTAATTCAGTTCTCACTTCGCGAGAAGGCAAAAATACATAAAAACACAAAATATCTATATTAAAAATTACGAAGTAAATCTCAAACGCTTAGTTCTTCCTTATTTCCTCGAAAAAAATTCCAGAAAGAATTAAGCATGATTTAATTGGCAATAATAAATGAATGTGTTATCTTTGTTGTTGCAAAGATAAGTTTCTCTAGATTGGCAACAAATCCACTAGTCTTCTGTTTCAAATGTAAACATCAATGGCCGCCATTAAAAACAGGCTTAGTGGCAATTAAACAACTTTAAAATTGCTGATAATTCTAAAAATATTGCACACAGATTTACTAAAGGCATAAATTCCTTAACCGGAAGATAAAAAAAACATAATTCAATCATTTTTAAAGCAAAAAATGTACAATTTACAAACATATAAGAGTAAAGAAACTGAGATCACTGAGCCGGGTAATAGAGTGGATATATTTATAAATATATTTATATACGTTTGGTGCGGCCGATTGCAACCAAAATACGAGGTGCACATCTACATGTTATAGCAGTCCTACATACAGAATTTCAATGTTCTGAAGCTACTCATTTTTGAGTTATGCGAGATACGTACGTACGCACGTATGTACATAAGTTCGTACAGACGCCACGAAAAATTCTCTTCAGAATTAATTTTAAAGCAGTTTTATAATTTTTTTGAAGGAAAAGAGTATTTTATTATGTCCTTATGTACAGATATCAAGCAAAAACATCGTTAAATTGCATTCGATAGCGGTCAAAATGGATATTTTCGTTGAAATATGCTGCCTGAAACTTTTCGCGATTACAATACTTCCTTTTTACTTTGTACAAGGAAGTAAACAGCATTAATGTTATTATTATTTTTACTAATGAATTTTATTTAAAATCCTCCTTCTAAACTCAGCACATATTGCTCAACATGAGAGATCTGTCTAAACAGCAGCAGCAAGAAAGACAAAAAAAAAAAAAAATTATATGTTTGCTACCTGTTATCAAGCAAAGAGCTTTTTGTGCCACATTTCAGCAAAACAGCTGAAACAGAAAGCATTCCCACATAAAATTCAGTGACTCAAAACTCCCTAAACCAATGAATGAAAGACTTACTAAGTATGGTAATTGATTTAGACTAACATTTAAGTTCTAATTAGTTTCCTTTTCTTCCTTTTTTTAACGGTCAATAAACTCTTTTTGGTATGATTTCTGTTTTTAGCTCTTTTTTTAATAAAGATATTACATTACATGCTACAACCTAATTAAGGTTAATGCATTAAATTGCTATTTATTTATAGGTATTCTACGATTCTGATTATTTTAACAATTTCTATCATTTTAAGAGTTATGAATTCTGTGACCATTTTAAGAGTTTACCATCAGAGACTAGCAAAAGTGTACACTTCGTTCTAGGACTTGAAGCATGAGCAAAGATTATACTGTGATTATACATTTGTAAGAACAGAAGTAAATGCGATATTTTTAAAGCAACTTCTAGGGACTTCACAATTTAATTTACAGAATGATAAATGGAAAACAAAAAATATTCAGTCTCAAATGTAACATAGGCAAGTCAATTTTACATTTATGTAGAATTTATCCTTAGAACGATAATAATTTTATAAAAAATTTTCAGAGAAACATATCAAGTTATTTCTCAAAAGATTTGCTAGCCTACAGCTGAATTTTACCTAATTTCAGAATCCCAATTTAATTTTTTTTTTTTTTTTTTAAGTTACATTTACAAGTTTTCTAAAATCTGAAAAATTACATTTAAACTCAAGTTATTCAATGAATACAATTTTGATAATAAAGTATTAGATCTAGCAAAGATCATAACTGTAAACTTATTTTGTTTCATAAACGGAAAATACGCAAAATTAATCGTTAAGATTTATTATGTATCACATGCAAGGTTAAATAAAATGAAAATATAAAATACCTAATGCAGGGCTGGCACAAAAGTACTTCCTCATGATTGGGTAAAAATATGGTATCCTCCATAGCAAAAAGACACACAAATTAATGCCAATAATAGCACATGCTATTTTCTGGCCTTCAGTTTGACTATTCCACCAGGAATTCAACTGAAATGAAAATTAAAACGAAAGTTAAAAAAAAATATAGCATTGAAAATATTTCAAAGCAATATAAAAACTAAATATGTGTTTAACCTCTGAGCATTATGGATTTGGTCATGAAATTTCAAAATTTCCCAAAATATAATGAATAAGCAGCACTTTCTTGATTAAAATTTCAAAATTACTCTTTTACTTTGTACATGGACTCCTTTTCTTCTAACATACATCAAACCAGAAATTGGATTTATGAGAATGTGGCAGAAATTTTCATGCACAACAAATGAGAAATGCATCCTTTGATACAGAATTTTACATCCATAACCTTCAGAGGATTAAAGAAACCAATTTAATGTGCAGCACTAAAATATAAAATTACTCTTATAAGTATAAATTATATATTTTCTCCATTGTACCTAACTGATTTGAGAAAATAATTCAAGTTTTTTAAATAACATTAATACTAATAGCCTATATGGCAAAGTTCAAATTTGCACCAGAAGAATATAAGTTCTATAATGCAAGAAAACAACTCAAAGCAGCATGAGCCAGTTCTTTCTAATGAGCAAGTAAACCCTTAATAATTAGGAAATGGTCATTTTATAGGCATTTTACATTTTAAAAAAATCCGATGTGTACACCACGTGACTTCCTTGTACAGAATATTAAATTATACGCATTTTTTCTTGCATTTTATTTAAACTTATTAGATTGAATTAAACCTACTTCGCCAACAGCGCATAAACCACAATAGAATAAATGCATTCTTTAAAATTCACTTTGTTTACCATAGCGACACTCTGGCGCTAGGTTGACTTAACAGTATTATATTTCGTTCATATTATAACTCAGAATGCAAAAATGTATATCATTTAAAGAATTATCTCATTTTTGCCACATGTTCTATTCAAATACAACAATAAAGCTAGAACTATGTATAAAGGAAATTAAGAAAACAAAACAAAAAAGAAACAGTTTTCCTCAGACGATTGAGTATTTCTCATTCAATTAATTCAGTTTTCACTTCGCGACAAGGCAAAAATACATAAAAAGTCAAAATATCTGTATTAAAAATTACGAAGTAAATCTTAAACGCTTATTTCCTCGGAAAAATTCCAGAAATTATTAAGCATAATTTAAATAATAAATGAAGGCGTTATCTTTGTTGTTGCGAAGCTAAGTTTCTCTAGACTGGCAACAAATCCGCTACTCAGCTGTTTCAAATGTAAACAAGAGCAATGGCCGCCATCAAATTAGGCTTAGAGGCACTTAAACAATTTTAAAATTATTGATAATTCTAAAAATATTGCATACAGATTTACTAAAGGCATAACCCTTAACCAAAAGATAAAAACAACATAATTCAATCCTTTTTAAAGCAAAATATGTACAATTTACAAACACATAAGAGTAAAGAAACTGAGATCACTGAGCCGGGTAACAGAGTGGATATATTTATAAATATATTTATATACGTTTGGCGCGGCCAATTGAAACCAAAATACGAGGTGCACATCTACATGTTATAGTAGTCTTATATACAAAATTTCAACGTTCTGAGGCTACTCATTTTTTAGTTATGCGAGATACATACGTACGTAGGTTCGTACGCACAACGTACATACGTTTGTGCAGACGCCACAAAAAATTCTCTTCAGAATTCATTTTAAAGCAGTTTTTTAGTTTTTTTTTTTTTTTTTGGAGGAAAACAGTCTTTTATTCTGTCCTTACGTACAGATATCACGCAAAAACATCGTGAAATTGCATTCGAAAGCGGTCAAAGTGGATATTTTCATTGAAATATGCTGACTGAAGCTTTTCGTGATTACAATACTTCCTTTTTACTTCGTACAAGGAAGTAAAAAATGTTAAACAATTTTAATACACATTTCTACTTTATACATCAAAAAACTTTTAATGTATAAAATAATTTTTAGCTAACATCCAAAATTATTAACTGCCTTCAAGTAATTCTACAAACCTTGATAATGAGCATGACAGCATCTTTACATTAAGACCGTCAGCAATTGAGAGATGACTTTGTAAAAGCTTTTACATTAAAAATACACGAATTACAAATACACTTTACATTAAAAAATTTAAGTGTATGAAATATAATACTTTTTTGCTAACATCTGAATATTTTATAATATATTTATGCATTCCAACAATCATAAGCTGGCTTCAAATAATTCTTTTAGCCCTCAAACTTTTGCACCAAAGCAAATGGCAGCTTTTAGAATCAAAAAGTGCTAAATGTAGGCTGGTACTTGGAAATAATGAAATACCCCCATTTAAAGCATATCTATTTGAAGTGATTTTATTAATGATAACATCTATTAAATAAAGTATTGAAGCAGACTGAATATAGAGCCACATGCTCAGATTATTGCATCACAATAACAGGGATAAGTTACTTAAACTAACAGCGGGGGGACATTCAATCTGCTTGCTTATTCCTATTTTGCTTTTCAATAGCCATCATTTTTAAGCAAATTTATCTTTGATTAATAAAGAATTAAAATTATATTTTATACATCATCCTTTAACATTTTGACTTTTTTGACACTAAATTAAAGCTGAAATGCAGTATCCCTCGGTTCTTTAAAAATCGAAGTAGGAGTGAAACCATTCAAGAGTTCTAGAAATATTTTAATATAAAATATGATTTGCAGCGCTTTGCCAGATCATAAGAAGATGTATCTACAGATATTTTTTTAAATGCTCGACATAATTTTTAGCTAACTACCAAGTTTCATGATGACATCACAAGCACAAATTTCGACAAGAAAAGTGAAATTTTCCGATTAATGGATTATGAGAAGAAATGCTAAATGAAGATGATCTAACTAATTTTGTATACTGAAATGACAATGCCTCAATCATGAATCAATTAACAAAATAGCAAATAATCTGTAAAAAATTTTGAATTCACTTTACTAACACTTTTTTTTTTTTTTTTTTTTTTTTTTTTTTTTTTAAGATTTACTATTAAGCATCATTTTCTTTGTACTTATGCCATATACAATTCAATATCAAAATTACAAAAATTTTACAGCATTGCAGTATACGCTTAGAACTTGCAATGCAGCATTATGTGTTGGCAGACATTTTTCAGTTTAATTATTAAATACCCCATTATTGATGCTTACACCATATAACATTTGATTCAGCAGCAAAATCACAAAATATTTAAAAACAGCATATCTTTAGAATTTCTGATATACAGTCTTGCATGCTGGAGATAAAAATGCTTTTTTTTTTTTTTTTTTTTTTTTTTTTACAGTGTTGCCACTGCTCAGTTTGAAATCATTAAGTTTGCTACTAAACAATTCTTTAAAGTTTTACAAAATATGAAATAGATAAATTTAAAATTCAAAATTTAGGCTTCCAGGTTTCTACGTACAGATGGAGAACTACATTATTCAAAATTTGATGGCCCTAGGAATCTTTTTTCACAATGCAAGAAACATGCACACATTCATGCAGATTCTTTATTATAAAATTTCTTTAAATATAATACAGGGTGATAATATTTGGTGGCCCAACAATTTGAAAAGTGATATGCCATTTACAGTAATTCAATGCAAAATGCCATTTTGAGACTAATATGCCATTTGGGACTAACATCTCTGCTTGGTCTAACATACGAAATCAAGTGAAAATAATGTAATAAAAAGATAATTTAAATATTCCCTTCAAATATACTTTTTTTGATAAAACTGTATTAACATATAACTTTATTATGCTACAATAACACTTTTAAGACATAAAATTATCAAACATATCATTTTATGGACAAAAATACAAAATATTCCTTAAAAACTACACTAAAAAAACTTTTCAATTGCAATTTATGTTTTCCTTCACCAAAAATGATTTAAACATGGCATTTCATAACTGAAGAAAAAAAAAAATTATTCATTTCTTTAAATTATAAATATTTCATTTATTAATCAGAATTCCATAAAAGAGAATTATTTAACTTTTGAATACAAATCTTTTACTAATGTTCTATTATAAATTGATTCGATATTGAGAAAACAGCAAACTAAAAATATTCTTTTACAAACACTGTTTTTACATATAATAAATACCCTATTTTGGGCCTTAATTATAATAAACAAAATTTCTTACGTAAAAATTCATATACAACACATTTTTTAAAGGAACTGTATCTTATAAGCCTTTCACAAATTCAAAGGAGATCAGTAATTCTTTTCTTAATGTATAAATTTATGCTCGGAAAAATGTATGTGCTGTCTATATTTATCACCCAGGTAGGTAGGACATTTTTTAAGCATGGTCTGAATTATAAAGTACAAAAATATATTAATCAGTGTAGCTTTAAAATACCTTTCTTCTTATTTTAAATCGCGTATATTTTGGAGCATAAGGATCAAACTGGGAAGAAAGCTCACGAGAATTCATAAAACGTAGAGCAAACTTTCGCATTTCCTCATACTGCCAAATAGATGCACTTACAAAGCAACATCCACTAAACTAGAGAAAGAAAAAGCACAGTTAATGCAAAAAAATTTTTTAACTGAAAATACAAATGAACAGTTTTTTTAAATTTAAGTGACATTACTCACACATTTCTAATGAAAAATTTTATCTCAAAATTGTTTAAGAAAAATAATGTTAATAACTCCAAATGTACGTATACGGTACATTTTTTTAAATTTGACATTGGGAAAACAATATATACAATTATAACTAAAGAATAATCAATTAAAGTGGCCAAATTCCCTATAAGAATATGGAATTCTAATATACACTGGTGTGCAAAAATTAAATACGAGACGGTTTTTTCAATATAACTTTGTACAAAAGCTTTCCAAATCAACACATTTAATACCGTAAGATCCCCAATACGTAAAGACATGAGTAATGTAAGCAACACTTACTAAAAGAGAAATCAGAGGGATAAAAAGAAGCTTTATTGAAAAAGTAGCATGGAGCGCAATGCAACTGAAGGCCGAAACATCCCTGTGATGGGTGTCCAGCAAGAAACTCCGGTCTTTAATAGGGGATATGATCTCCCGGACTGCTAGGCAGGTTTCACAGCATCTGCCCATGCTGAGGAATGAGGGTGTCAATGAGTTGTTGAGGGCATTGCTGCCTAGTCGTTTTGCAGCGCCAATCGAAGCTCCGGAATCGTTACTGGTGGTAAGGTACGAGCTGCCAAGCGTCTGCCTAGAAAACCATACATGCTCGATGGATTGAGGATCGGAGATCGTTGCCGGCCAATCCATACGTTCAATATCCTCACTCTCTAAGAGCTGTTCGGCAGCGCTACTGTGCGATGACCATGTGGCATTGTCGTCCATGAAAAGGAAATGCAGACCCATAGCGCCTCTAAAAAGACGCACATATGGAAGAAGAATCTCGTTACATAACGGGTCCCGTTGACTGAACCTGCATCGAAGATGTGAAGGTCTGTAGACTACCAAGCATTGATGCCTCCCCAAACGAGAACCCGCCACCTCCATACCTGTCCCTTTCAATGATGTTCGAGGGATGATTGCGGCTTCCCCGCTCTCTCCAGATGAGTATGCGATGAGAATCGCTACTCAGACTGAATCTGCTCTCATCTGTAAAGAGTACTCATCCCCATTCATTGTCTCTCTAATTCCGGTGTTCCCGGCACCACAGAGAACGCCTTCTCCGATGGGCAGGCGTTAGAGGTACACACCGTACAGGACGTCGTGCAAACAGACCACAACCGTGCTGTCTTCTGGCCACGTGCAGTCTTCTGTGCCAAATGCGATATCGGTTGTCCAGTCGCCTGTGTCATGTGTCTAGCGATTTCTCCTGCTGTCTGCCGCCTGTTTCTTCTGGCTGTAAGGCAATATACCGGTCATCTGCGGGTGTGTGGTGGTTCCTCGTGGACGACCACTACTAAACCCCCGGATAGCTGTTCCTGTAGTTTGAAATTGTCTCCAAAGTGTGAAACAATGCTGTGAGCAATTCCGAACTTTGCAGCCACACTGTCACACTGCGGCCTTCCTTCCGACTTCCCAATGATTGACCTCGGGTTAAAAGCATCAGATGTCATTAACAGATTGATTATTCGCCATTTCGCACTGAGGGCAGCAACCGGTGTGATTTTAACTGCTATACGGCATGCAATCTCTTTGCCAGAAATACTGATCTTACACCGACAACATGCCTTATACTACTCAGACACTCTCCCATTACGTCTACCTGCATATCTGTGCATGTGCTACCGTACATCACCTTACTTAATCTCCTGATTGATCTTTCTGTCCGCTCTGCCTCTTCGTTCAGCTGATATGCTAATTTTTCGACTTCGTCCTTAATTTTTGCACACCAGTGTAAATATGGATGATACACATATTTCATATTTATATGATTATGAAGATATCATTTATATTCATGTAAAATGTGAGATGTGCATTAGCACTATGACCTGCAATACATTTTGTTTAACAAATTTTTAGAAATTTGTTCTGGAATAACAAACTTTTATTTTTTTCATAACAGTAGCTATATTTATGTCAAACTGCTTTTGTGAATGTTTCTTCAAGACAGATTATCTATGATATCAGATGTAAGATTGCACACATATGGCAGACAGATAAAACTACTGAATATAGATAGTTCACCCTGACTTCCGACTCCTGAGTTCCTTGGTCAAACTCATACATAGGTGCTTAATGGCTTTACCCATGTATACTACTAATACAATCTAGTTTCTATCAAAAGTCCCTTTTCAAATTATTAAATTGTAAGATTATTTAACTTAGTTTTAGTATACGATGGCTAGCTATAAACTTTTCTGAGGGCTCCTGGGATCACTTTCATAGGCAGATAATTTTTATGTGTCACTAACCAAATTAACACATATAAGAAATTAAAAATGTCAATTCTGAATACATTTTAAACAACTGCCTTTAAAATTTTATGTAAATTAAAACAACTGCCTTTAAAATTTAACACAAATTAACAAGAATATTATAAGTACTCATACGAAGCAGCAAGTTCACCTACATAAATGTTTCCTTGATAGCTCATCAACAGGCTCTGGGATTGCAAATTAGTTTGTTGGTTTCCTTGCAATGACATTGCTATTTTCATGGTAATGGAAAAAAAGCATTCACATGTCCAAATGCTAATAAGATTCATAACTCTTTTCTTCTGTACTTTATGAAATTTCACATTGGAATTGTTACCATGCATAAACGTAATATTTTGCTCTTGAGTTAAATCTAGGACATGGGAATGCTCAGAGAAATTAAAGGAAATACAAAAGCTTGATATGAGTTTCATTTTATTAAATAAGTATTTAATTTTACATATAACTATTTAATTTCTATTTTATTCCTTTCGAAACATCTTAGTTAATTAAAACATCTTCATTAATCAAAATGACTCATTAGCAGAACCAAAAGTATTAAGATTTCAAATCAAAAGTTTTTTAAATGCACATTGGATATAAATAAACAATAAACTAATGTCATTTAATGATACTTTCTCCTAATGCATAAGGAATGAAAAATGGAAAAATACACTAATTGGCTAAAATCTGCACATTTCATTACATCTCCCATTTAAGTATTTAGCACCATATAAAGGAATATAAAAAACTATTGTGAAAAATTTTAGAATGACTGTCTAATTTATACCATAACTGTGATTTTAATAGGTATGACTTATTTTTTAACTTAGGTGCAGAAAACAAATACCGATTCTTTTTAATTGAAATTCTTTTTAATACTATAGTGAGGTATTACTGTTTTCAACTGCTAACAAAAAATGATGTCTGTTACAAATAAAAGATCATAAGGACATAGCATACTCTTGGCAGTTGATGATATAAAATGCCTTTTATTTTTTTTCAAAGCGCAAAGAATTTATCAGAATACGAAAATAATATGTTTAATCAATTAAGTCATCTTAAGAGCACTTTTTAATTAAATTTTGCCATAAATGTTACTTTATTTATAAGGATGACAAATAAAATGCAGAATGCAAAACTTTCAAACTCACTATTATACCTGAACTCTATTGTCTGCATCAATAATAAAATCAGACAATGATGATGTAGTTTCCTAATAACATTTAAAAATTTTAGAAAAACAAAAATGGTGAAATTTGCATAATTGAAATGTTTTTTGAATTAAGTTTTAATTTTATTTAATAATGAAGATTTAGTTGCTTGAGTTTCCAACAGTTATTATTTTTATTTAAAGGAAAGAAAATAAAAAATATTTTCATATACTATTTCATATTTCCACATCCTTTACATTTTTTTAAACTTTATTACCTGAAATTTTCAAATTGAAAATTATTTCTTCCTCATCCTTTTATTCTCCTGTGAAATTTAAATATTTTCCTTTATTAATTACTATCAGTATATTTTATTAATTCCTACATAATACATACTATAAATTTAACAATTGAGATATTGGAAATAACAGCAGTTTTGCTTATGCATTAACTAAATTTCAAGGTTTTTATAAAAGATGAAAAAAAAAGATCAACAGTTTTCAAAAGAATAAAATGTCTGATAATTTTTAATATTTATGTTTATTATCATCCCCTGAAAAAAAGGCAAAAGTGCCAAGATTGAGCCTATATAGTGGTCATGACAGTTGTTCACTTCTATGTAATTTTGGTACTTTCTGATTATCCACACACCTTGCACCTTGAAAAGTATTCATGAGGCAATACATTATATCACCAAAACAGGAAACTTAGAATGCTACCAAAATATATTTATATGGCAACCCAGGTATGTGCAGCGGATGAGCATCAGTTTCCTCCTTCATAGTTGACAGTTGTTAATGTTTGTTTTTGCTGCAGTGAGTGCATTTCTTTTTTTATAAGACTGGACTTACGGACTGCAAAGTTTGCCAGCAGATGAAGTAGAAACATTGCATTTTTTCAGAAGAATTGTGTTTTGCCTAAGCGTAGAAAATTAAAAAATTTGCATTCCATGAAGTTGCCTTTGTAAACAGTTGAAATTTATGGAAAAAATTGTGCACCAATGTTAAATTTGTGCAATTCTCTAACGTCTTTAAGCACTAACAGATCACTGAGTACACAGGGAAACAACAGCATGTACAATGTAAACTGTGCAATTCCCTGATGTTTTTTTTTTTTAAAGGAAAAAAATCATTATGTACATGGGAAGAATGACAGTTTGTGCAGTGTTGTGCATGATAACAATTTGTGTGCCAATCAGTGCATATGCTGTGTTTCTGCATTTCTCTGATGTTTTTCAAAGCTAAAACAGATTGCTGTGTATGGAAAAAACAGTATAAAAAAAAGTAAGTTTTATTATGGATGTTTTTTGCATTTTAAATTTTGATTAATTGGCTACTATTTTAGATGATTCTTAATGCACTGACATTTTTACAAATGCCTATTGTCTTCATTTCATAGCTTGGCAAAAAAATTAGTGGGAAACAACTGGCAACTTTTTGGGAGGGGGATGCAGATAATTAAAAAGTATTAAAATTTTCTTGTTTAACCTGTGAACAATAAAAATATGAGATTTTGCATTGCAGTAGTGGAGTATCAAATATTGGTTAATGTAAATATGCATAGTTTTCGGCACAAAATAGCACACACCAAGTTGAATTTTCAAGCCTCGGTTACTAGAAATGATGAAAAGATTGTAGATAATCAGCAAACCAATGGCAAGCAGGCAGCCTTCCGAATGGCAGTCCAGAGACAAAACGGCAATCACAAGTAATCAGTGGCATTCAGTGAATGCATCAAACAAAATATAAAATACCTACCAAAATACAAAATGTCTACCTGAGTAATAAGCTTCCTTGTATCAAATTCGTTATACTGTAAAAAGCCCGAGATCTGGTCTCGTTGGGAATTTGGAGATTCCGGATTTGGGATTTTTCTGGATATTAGATCATCAGTTTAAATCTAGTAAAATGGCATGTAGAAATTATAAAATTAAAAATATGAAATCGGGATTTATGAAATCATGAAATATTTATGATCTAAAGGGTATCAAAATTTACAAAAAAAAAAAAGCTTAATATTTATTTGTTTATTTTATTAAACATTTCTTTCAATGTAAATTGTTTAAGTTGGTTCTTTTTTTTTGTGTATCCTAATACCTTCTCCTTAATTCCATAGACAGATATAATTTCTTGTTCAGTTACAAAGTTCCACTGTTCAAGTTCCGTAGGTGCTGCATTGAGAACTCCGACTAACTTGTCAATCAAAATGTTTCCATTTTCAATAACCTCTCTGTCACTTTCTTCACTATCAGTAGCAGTACTTCCTGGACCTAGAACATACTACAGATTTTGCCGTCCCTTAACTGATGATTGAGCATTGTCATCATAATTAAAAACTTCTATTATATCACTTTCCTTTATTATCACTTCTCCATATTTCTTTACAAAATTCATTAATTAGAAAATTTCACCTTTGGTTTGTGATATCCGAAAACCTTCTTATTCGCAGCTATAGTTTTCATCATCCTCACCATGAAATATGGTAGCTGGCCATAAATTATGCCAAGCATTTTTTAAAGCGTCCTCCCACGATCTTGCTATGTTCCACACAGCAGATTTCATGCTAAAATACAGGGCTAGCATAAATGATTCATTCATTTTGAAAAGGATATATTTTCAAAAGGATTATGTATACACACAAATGAAATATATACGAAAAGAGCCACAAACTCACTCAAGTCACTAACTGCAATCTTTGTAAAACAAGTCTTTGCAATCCTGTAGTTAAAAGATCTCCAGCTTCACTTCTGTCATTATTCCATATCCTTTCAGCAGATTTGATAACTTTTTATTCCATTAATGGTATGACGGAATCGAACTTCAAAATCTGATTGTAACAAAATACAGAACAAATTCAATGCATGTATGTACTTCATATCTTATTTAATTCCCCATAAAAGTCATTTTCAGGCACCTGCAGCAGAGAAAAATTGTCACACAGACAGTTTGAATTAATACTGGCAAACTGTCTTATACAGAAGTATCATTTATGGCATTTTCTGATTATCCAAACCCTTACAACTAGTCACTGACTAATTGGCAACTTTGTGAACAGGCAAAAAATACTTGTTTGATTATGCTTGTGGCTAACAGGTATTGTTCTGTTCATAAACAATAATAAAAAGCATTTTATAAAAAAAAAAAAAATTATGAGGGAAAATCAGAAATTCATATGACTGATAATTACATTTTTACAATAGTGGATACTGATCAGTGAATTGACAATTAAACATAAAGTTTGAAAATGCATTTGAAATATTTATGAGGTAAGCACATGAGTGGGTTGGCTGTTGCTACAAGTTAGCTTAAAAAAACATAATAAATACTATACTGTATGTTGAAATCTGGCAAGTGGATAATCAGAAAGTATCCCATTTTCTTTCGATATGCATAAAAGCTTAATTATTTAAAATTGATGAGATCGCTATTATTATTAAAATTAATAGATTTATTAAAATGAAGTTTAAATATTTTTTATCAGTGAAATTAAGCAACTGAAATGTTACATTTGGGTAAAATCATTATTGGTAGTGGTCTTATTACATATTTTGCTAAATTTATACTTACTGAGACTGTGAATATAAATGGTTTTATCAAACTTTTGAATCCAACACTGGAAGACACTGTATCAGACACTGTAATAATGTTTTCATTACTTTTTAGAGACAATTTTGATCCTCTGGCATTTCTGTTAAAACTTTTTGCCGTCTGTATAAACATGTTGCTTCTAATGGATGGGAAAAAAAAATTTTAAATCTTCAAAAATAAAGTAAGATATTCTAATTCATCAAATGTTTCACCAGAAAAAATAGAATCAGTTCCCCAGAAATTATATAAATATTCACAATAAATATTATGTAAATAACAAATATCATACATCAAATATGGTAATGTTGTTAACTGGCATTTGAGAATAAACTGCTGATAATCTATTGGTAATTTTCGGCAATGAAATATACAGTGGCTCCCAAAAGTGTTTGTACACTTATGATTTTCATTGAAATAGGGCTCTATCCATTAATTAAAAGTTAACTTTCTGAATGAGATTTTTAATAATAAGATCTATAATCTATTTGTAACAAAATTACATGAAAAATTTTTTAAATATAGCAAAACTTTATTTTTAAGAAATTAATAATCAAAAAATGACAAACATTTTATCTTACAAAAGTCTTTGTACACTTAAAAAAAATCTTGACATTATTAGTAAATATTTTCATTTTTTGTTAAATTAATATTATTATTCTTTCACATCCACAACAGTTTTTAAACATCTGGGAATAGATTTTACTAGTTTTTTTTTTTTTTTTTTTTTTTTTTTTAAATTTCTGTATCAATGTTCACCAATTCTTCAATCATGGCTGTTTTGAATTTGCTTTTCATTTTGATGTCGTGTTTTCGTACTCTAACCTCCAGCTCTTTCCAAATGTGTTCTATGGGGTTTAAATCTGGCAACTGAAGTGGTGTTCTCAAAACCTGTGGACAATTATAGAGACACTACAGGCGAACATTGAGAGCCATATACTTAGGATCGTTATCATGATTAAAAAGAAAGTTGTTTCCAATACCCAAATTTTGGGCTGATAATTTTAAATTGTCTCTTAAAATATTTAAATAAAGACACTGATTCATTATGCCATCAATAAATACCAAATTACCTAGTCCTGATGCTGTCGTGCCTCCCTACACACACACATACACGAGAACACCTCCACCGCCATGCTTAACTGTTTTCCAACTAAGTTCTTAGAATGAAAGTTCCTCATTTTTTTCTTCTCCATACAGTTATTCGACCATCGGAACCAAAAATGTTAAATTTGCTTTCGTCAGCAAATAGGACATTATTCCAGTACGTTTTGGGTGTATTTATCATTGATTTTGCGAATGAAAGCCTAAGCTTTCTGTTTTTCTCACTAACAAAATATTTTTTACGGGCAGAACGCCCATGTAATCCAGCTTCTCCGAGAACTCGTCGAACAGTTTAAGGTGAAATTGAAGTAGAAAACTTTGCATTAAATTCAGCAGAAATTTTTACAGCAGTCAAACGTGGGTTTTTCACAAATTTTCTAATAATAAATTTCTCATCACGTTTAGTTACATTTCTTGGTCGACCTTTTCTTACTTTGTTTTCAATCCAATTTTCTTCTTTAAAGTGTTTTATCACATACTGCACTGTAGAACGGGATAAATTAACTACTTTAGCGAAATTTAGAATTGATTTACCACTACTATGGTGAAAAATTATCAATTTTCGAATGCTGTTTGTAATTTCTTTACGACTGCGACCCATTTTCCAATAATAAACAGAATATTATGGAGTAAACAATAAAAAATTAAAGCAAACACTTTTTTAAATGCCACTACAATGCAAAAGTTAAAAAAAGCGGCAAACAATATATTCTAGTTTTGATTTTATTCAAAAATATTTCAGCATACGAAGACTTTTGTGAGATAAAATGTTTATCATTTTTTTATTATTAATTTCTTAAAAATAAAGTTTTGCTATACTTTAAAAATATTTCATGCAATTTTGTTACGAATAGATTACAGATCTTATTATTAAAATCTCATTCAGAAAGTTTACTTTTAATTAATGGATACAGCTTTATTCAATGAAAATCATAAGTGTACGAACACTTTGGGGAGCCACTGTATTTTCAACTTTAGCAGATTCATTGAACAAACTTTTTTTTATTTCCAGCAAGCACTGCTTGATAATTACATTAAAAAGCGCATTGAACGGATAATTATATTAAAACTTATCTCTAATTCATGTAAATAAGAAGGTAAGTAATTTATCTTAAACCATAGACTACACATTGGTCTACATGGACCCCACAGGTCTACTCCAACCTGCAAGGGGTCCATGTCAATGAAAGAAAAAACTGAGGGTGCATGAGACATAAATAGGGATCCACAAAACTGGATCCGATTCAAGCAGGTTATCACCAAAATTTAGGATTCTTTAAATGACATAATGCATCTGCTACAGATTTTACCAATGTATACTCACATAATACCTACTTATATAATAGACATAAATTAACTAGTTATGTATTAATTAATCATATTTCATAAACTTGTGTATATATGCACTTATTCACTTTGTGCTCACAGTACTTCTACAAAAATTGCACATTTGATACCAGTAGCAAGTCACTGTCAGCATACATGCAGTAGCAAATGCTTGTTTAGACACGTACCAGAGCTTTGCAAAGACTTGTACTGTTTGTGCTGGCATGAACTTGTTTAATTCTTCAGTTATAAATATGAGTGAACACTGCATTTGTCTTCTCAATTTTGAAAAGAAAAAATAATCAAATATTTTCAAAAACATAAATTGGTAGTTAGGTACATACTACTTAAAGTGGATCAAAATCATCATCATTTAACTTTCAAGAAAAGTTAAGTGAATCATATATATAAATATATGCATAAAATAATCTTTTTATAGTTCCTCTGATTGTGTAGACACCGATTTATGTCTACAATTGCACACAATTTCTAAAATTTAAAGCAGTCGCATCTAAAAATAAACATAGTTCTGCAATTGTTTATATTTTTGGCAAAAGAAGCACCCCTCTTAAAAACCCAATACTACAATATTTTGCATTTATAACGAGTATAACCAAATTTCAGATCAAGCAAGTAGTTACATTTTACTTTTGAATAGATTATGGCATTTTGTGATGGGCATAAGGTAGGATTTTTAATTATTTTTTAAAAAGTTTTGTATAAAAAAAATTTGCACAGTAACTTTATCTGGTGAGTACTATAACTTGATAAAAGTGATCAAATTTAAAAAATACCCAGTATAATTAATTCAAGATTAAAATAAGATTTTAGCATCAAGAATCAGTTTTAAATTGCTTTACCTTATCATATTTAAATAACTTAATTTTTGTCCATAGATAATTGCTACTAAAGAGGGGCGAATCTAAAAAGAAATGTAGGCAGTATAGCATTGCTTATTTGAAGGATGTTTTGAGTACAGAAATACCACAGTGGATTATCAACTCAAATGGTGACACTGAATCGGATGTCATATGATAAATAGAACTTAATGAAATAAATACTAATGAAGGACTTCAGGTGCAATTTAAACAAGGATATCAGCAATTCTGGCTTCACAGACATGCCTGTAACTTATCATGCATTATGAACTAAATATCACAAGAAAGTTTTTGATAGCCTTTCCATCTTCATACCTAGTAGAAAGGGGTATCAGTGGAAAAATAAGAAAAAAAAAAAATCTGAAAACTTCCACACTTAACATTATGCCCAAAGGGGTGCGTTTTTTAGCGTTCTGTGTGTTCCGTTTATTTATTAAATATCATGTTCTTTGCACTTAAACCATAAAATTCAATTCCACAGCAATATCATACAGTAATTTTAAAATGAGCATATCTTTAGAATTTCAAATACACAGTTCCGTACGCTGGAGATAAAAATGTTTTTTTCGTACAGTGTTGCCATTGCTCATTTTGAAATCATTGAGTTTGTTAATCAAAAATTCATTAAAGGCTGCAAAATATGAAATGGATAATAAAACAACTTCCAAATTAGGGCTTCCAGATGACCATATTCGGTGGAAGATTACATTATTCAAAATTTAATGGATCGTTGTTTTATCACAATGCGAGCAACATACCTAAATTTATGCAGATTCTTCATTATTTAATTTCTTTAAATATATCACAGGGTGATAATATTTGGCTGCTACAATTTGAAAAGTGAAACGCACATTTAAAGTTTTTGATGAAAAATGCCAAAACAAAATTAATAGCCCTTCTAGGCTAATGCCGTTTGGGCTAAAAATGAAAGAAACTGATTAGAAGTCACTGATCAAGGAGATTTAAGGTCAATCCTGATTAATTTGAAGCCAAATAATAAAAATTTACTATTAAAGCATCAGGCTCATCCATTCCATTAAATGCATTGATTTTTTTTCAATTATTTTATACCTGAATACTACTAGATTTGCATTTTGTGCTGTGTTGATAACAAAGGTATGTGAATCAAAGCTTTAAAAGTTTTTTCATTTTAAAATTTTCCACTCTGTAGTAGAACTTAGCAAAATGAGAAGCTCTGTGACAAAAACACATATGAAGTTGATGAAATTTTAAAAATTCAGTATTAGAAAAACATTTCAAAACCACCCAACCAGTGCAAAATTTACCAGCCAGCTGCCACTCTCAGATAAATTTTCACCCTGCTAGGTAAATTTCACATTTGTAATGTGATATTTCTATACATTTTGCTTTCAACTGAGTATTTTTACCCTCAGTTTCATTCTGTTTTGGAACATTCAAGTATAAATATTACACTGCCCAAATGGTTTTGGAATGACCCCTAGGAAGAGATCAACAAAAAAAATCAGCTAGTGGTCTACAGGACAAAAAGTTTGAGAACCTCACTCAGTCTTAAACAAAAACATTATGTATATCTTATTCCATATAGTTTTTCACTGTGTGAGAATTGGAACACATGCAAATTTTTGACAAATACCATATATAACCATGACCTTGTAACTGAAAAACTCATGAAAGAACTGCAGCAAAATGAAAAGAATTTTGCAAGAGGACTTAGATAACATTCTAGTTGAAATGGTACAAATAACAAAAGAGAAACTTCATGATAATGAAATAATTTATAGACTGTTTTAAATAAAGAGAAATTACAAAAGAAAGAAATTCATTAGAGAAATTCATTCACATTCCAATCAAA